TTTAAGAACTTAAGAATTGGTAAATATTTTGGTATGCATTTTTGGTCACCTTCCATTATTAGGAAGAAGGCTGAATTTGTGACCGGAATCAGTTATAGGACCAACACGAGCAATTTGTTTTCTGTATCTATGTGTATATGAATGTAAAATTTAAAGTGTATACTGCATATTCTTTAATTTGATCTTGGCATAATGTGAATATATAGACAGCTGTTTTTGAAAGTGATTATAACTGCTGATTTGCATAATGGTACAGGATTTTTCTCATAGCAACTGGAAAGACTATCATCTTTAGCATGTGGGAATGATTTCGGGCTTTAAGAAGAGTGTTTTGTTAAATCTGCGAACAACAGCAGAGCAAAGGCGTTTCTGAAGTGGCATATGGATTACTTGCTTTGTTATGTCTTCAGTATTGACGAAGCATCGCTTTTCCGTTGTGGCATTTGGTAACTTAGCCAATTATTCTGTGCTTTCAATTTAAGGCTCCTTGGATATAGCATAGTGTTGTCTATTCATTTGAAAGCTGAAGCTCTGTAGTTACTAAGAAGTATGAACTTGAGTGGAGGATGGCATTTTAGTGTTGTGCTGTTGTGTATCAGTCTTTTTTTTTTTTTTTTTTTTTTTGTTATGATTGCTAACTAAAATCCCAGCCTCCCCATTTCTGGGAATGGGTTTCTTAGGAAAGGGCTACTTTGGCAAAATATACTAGGGTTTATTTTACAGTTTTTAGAAAGCCCATTTCAAATTTTGGTAGTTCCGACAGTTTGGTTAACTTTGTATTGTGTGTGTCGTAAAACTGCCTCAATACTGGCTGAGGCTTTTTCCATTTTCAGTTACCTGTCTGAAAAAAAAACAAAACTTGGAATTTATAATGAACTTGTTGCATGTTTTGAATCATCAGTTGTTCTAGGTTTCTAAAATTATCAGTATTGTTACCAATTTCATGATGACTCAGAATTCTTGCTTTGAATGTAAGCCCAGTTCCAATCTCCTTTGTAAGAAATCTCATCTTGGTAGCAAGTATCTTAATTTGAGCTTTGGAAATCAATGTTAAATTAACTGATGTGTAAACAGCAGCATCTCTGAACCCTTGAGCATGGCTGGTGATAGAAGAACTTGCTGAAGATGATGCTCGGTGGATGATTGCTCCTGTAACTGGCTCAGCTCTGTCCCCTTGTCCCTGAGGAGGACATTTTTGTTCCCCAGAGTCACAAAAAAGCAAGCTGGTACCGATGCAGTAACAGCCATCCCCTTCGCTTACTCCAGATCTTTTTGCAGGAGAGGAAAGGGTGGAGGAGCTTGGTTTTTGTGGCAGCTTTTTCAATTACGTGATGAAACTGCTATTTCTGCTTGGAGATTTACATCATCTGTGCAAACAGTAACAGCACTTTCACTCTGTCCTTTGGTCTCACCTTGCTCCTTAAAGCAAAAGGCATTCTGCAGTTGCTAGAACCAACAAGAATTTCAAAGCAACGTGCTGCTTCAACATGCTTGGCAGAAGCATATATTAAAAAGACATCAGATGATCTTCACTAGCAATATGAATGCATTTATCATCGTTGCCATTTGCTTTCATCTGGTGCAGGTGAAGCCTGCAGCCTCGCACGCATGCCGTGGAAGGGTGTACTTTGCTAGCTGGGGCCGCTGCCCTTTAATGCCAGCTCTGTGGCAGACAGAAGAGTGAGTCAGCAGTGGCGGGTGAACTGCATTCCAGTCTCATGCTTTGCAGATAATAAGTGTGGTACTTCAGGATGCTTGTATTTAGGTGGGGGAGAAGTTGGCTTGCCTGTTTAAAAAACAACCATGTTTTTCCTAAAACAGCACCCCCCCCCCCACCGCAGGCTCACTGTTGGATGTTTGTTTTTTAGCAACACTTCAGTTTTTGTGCTGTCAGGTTGCAGAACCCCAGAGCCTGCAACACTTTTATTGACTCAGTACCAGTAAATTGATTCACACTATTTTTTTTTCCCCATTTGAAGTATTTTTCCATTTTCTTTACTTCCTGGCATATTGTGGAACAACTTTTGCAATACCAGCTCTGGGTTTAAAAATGCACCTCTAATAATGCACGGTTAAGCTTAAGCATTCAATTCTGCTGTCTTGCTCCTATTTAAAAGAAGAAATGCATGCGAGCTGTGCAGGTACTGCTTGTGCATCGCCCTTGAGGACCGAGGGAGGGGAGATGGCTGACATGAGATGTGGGAACCAAAAGGGGATTGCGCTTTCCAAAAGCGTGAGACTGCCCTGGTTATTTTGGAACTTTTTATCTCTCTCTGCTGCCTGCATGTTTTGCGGCTTTTGGTGACAAGTCTGTGAGCCTCTGAACTGGAAACGCTGCTGTTAAGATGTTCAGTTCCCTTTGCTTGGGGTGTCTGTCTGTCTGCTTCGCTTCCATCTTGCACCAGCTGGGAATCCTGGAAAGTATCTCATTTCTTAGTCTCTCAGAGAGGAAAAACCAACAGCAGAAAAAAAAGCATCTGAACATAAACTACAGGCTGAAACGCATGGAAAAAAAATGTGTAGTAAAGCTCGTGACTGCAAATAGAAATTTGAACAAGTTATGTGGTCATTTGGTGAAGTTTGGGTATCTGTCTCATGGCTGATACTACAGTTGAAACTGAACTGGTTTTTTATGTGGTGTGTCAAAATGAATGTATTTTACCCTTGTTGCTATCATGAATGCTTGTGTTCTACAGAGAAGTGCTATGGAAAGCTGGCCGATGTACTGGATTATTTTGCTATGGTAATTTTTATAGCCGTGCTGCTCAGAGCAGGATGAGAAAGGAGGTGCTTTTGAGTAGAAATGTTAGAGCTGGCAGTAGGTGGAAATCGGGTTGAAATCGGGAACGAGGAAGGAGTGATGGAGTGTGCTAGCTGGAAGTAAGGTAATTCACTGAATAGGCATCGAGCTGGTGCACGCAGTTTATAACCACTTCTGCTTATGGCAAGTAGTGACTGATAAAACAGTAAATACATTGCTAATTATGTATCACCTTTTGTCAGTTTAACAGAGGTGTGGACTGCTTGCGGAGTAAAATACATTCAGAGTGAAGTTCAAAGGTTAAGATTTATGTGATTTGATAGTATCTGAAGTTATCACAAGCTCTGAAAGCTAAGCAACTTAATGGTTTTTTTCAGCATAAGATTTCTTAGCATTTGGGTGAGTACAGAATATATTGGAAATCAGACATGAACCCTTTTCAATGTCTGTATTTAAGGCAGCAAAAGATATTTATTTGGATTTCTCAAGAGCTTTTAAATTTTTCTCATTGTCTGCATAAATCATCTTTTGAATAGTCCAGGCAGACCAATGTCTATTAATACTTGGATTACACTATAGTAAATGCTAATTCTTTTTTTGAGAGTAGAAAACATTTTTTCTGTGTATTCAGTTCTTAATGTTTTTCTTAAGTCTTCTCGTTAACTGTGGAAATGCAGAACTTGGTCCATGTTGCTTCCCTTTTTAGTACTCAGGCTTGTGAGAATCCTGCAAGGATGGAATAAAGTAGTTGGTACCCTACTTCAGGCTTTACTTTGTGTACAAGTAACTGGAATATGGGTATCTTGGAAGGTGCCCTAGTGTCTTCACTTCTGATGATTGCTCTTTGGAGCTTTGTTATATTTTAACCATAAAAATAAAATAAAAACAGTTCTTACAGTTGTGGAATGGTTTTGGTTGAAAGAGACCTCTGGAAATCACCAGTTTCAGCACCCTTCCCCCCCCCCCCCCCCCCCTATACAACAACACACACCGCCACAAACGCCAACTTCAGCCCCCCTGCCCCCCCCCCCCCTGTTTAAAGCAGAGCCAACTGCAAACATGTTGTGCTTTGTTCTTATTCCTACTAAAATTAGTTTGAGGAGGAGTATGTTAATGTAGTAGGGTATGGTCTGTTTTCAAGCTGCTGGTTTCATTTCTGTTTTGCTTTTCAGTGAAGAAAAGCAAACATTCTCATTTCTAATAATGTTTAAAACTTGGGAGTAGGCTCTTTTCTTGAGTTCTATTTCAAAAAAAAAAAAAAATCCATGTATCATTACACCACCAGAGAAATAGATACCAGTAATTTCCTAGTAATTAGTGTGAATTCATTACTATGTTGGCTCTGGATGTAAACTTACAGTTTTCTTTTGTGGCCTTTTTCCTTAGCACTGTTTTTTGCTAAGAGGTACTTTTCCAAAGTTCTTTATCTCAGGTTGCTTTTGGCAACTGAATTACTGTTAGTCTAGAATAAGAAACTAGAATATTTTCTTCAGAAGTGAGGAATTTTTTTTTTAGCAAACAAGGTATCTAATCCTTTTCAGATCTGTACATTCCCATCTATCGCATTATCTTACATTGAGACATGCAGAGCCTGCTATAGTGATCTGTTATGTAGAAATTGTGAAAAGTGATAAAAGCATCAGTGTCTATGTAGCCTTTCTTGACTGAAATGCTCTTTTTTTGGTTTGCTTTGCATGGTGTACCTATTTTGGGATCACTAGGGACTTGAACATGGGTGTTAATTTGTAACATCTCACAATTCACATGAGACTATTTTAATAGTTTCCCATTGGATTTAATATGCCGTTGAAACTGCAGAGAAAGACCAGTATGTAGCGTCTGTGTGATTCTGGTGAGATGATACGTGATGGAAATTGATGACTCTGCTTTTCTAGTGGATTGCCTTCCTCATAGATATTAACCATCAACAGCCCAAGAGCATAGACTTCTAATAAGTTATCTGTTTGAGTTGTAAGGAGGTTTCTGTTATATAGTGACTGTGATCTAAATACCATGTTTTCAAGTTTCCCTCCTGATTCCCACCCCTCCAACCTTTTTCTCAGCTTTTTTTGGGAAAAGATCCCTTATTACTGCATATAGAAAGCTGAATTGTTTGCTTGTGGGACTTGATGCTCTGACTTTGAGACAGTTAAATGTTTGATTTAATGCCCATTTAATGCTATTGTAGAAATTTCACATGCTTTACAAATGTTTCCATAACTTGCTTGTTCAGATATTTATCCAAACATAATTGCTATGGGTTTTCCTGCAGAGAGGCTTGAAGGAGTATACCGCAACAACATTGATGATGTAGTAAGGTAAGGCTTTATTTTTATTTTCCTTAAGTTATTCTTGGAAATCTTAAGTATCCGTTCCTGCACTCATTTATGTTGTACTAAGGATGTGTGTTCTGACTCGTAGAAATGGCAAGATTTTTGCATCTCATAGATGTTGCCTTATTAGCTTTCCTGAAAAATATTGGAAACAATAAAAATGATGTTCTTGAGAATTTTAGGCCAAGTTGCTGTTCTGGCTTGATCTCAAATGCATGTAATCTAATTTTCAGTGTGAAAAATTGATTTTAGTAAATGGTGCTGGAGTAAAAGGAGGTTTTTTGCTTTTAGAAAGATGTCAGTCTGTGCCTCTGCTCACTGTGTCGAGACTTTCCTGAGATAGCTGGTGGCATTTCAGAATAATTTGCCCGTATCCTTTCTACAATTGATAAATGAAGCGCTTGATGAGTTAATTTTGATTAAGTAGTAAATATAGTTTACTTTAGATAAAGGCTTTGATGTCTGGTTGTGTTCAATAATTGTGGATGGGGAGAAAAATCAGTTAAAATTTATTATTGCTGGTGGTGTTTTATATGTATATGTAGTAGAAATACCTACAGTTTGACATTTTTAACATCAAGTCATCTACTCTGAACTGCTCGATACAACAGTGAAAGGTGTAGTCAGTGTTTTAGGAGCATAATTGTAATTTGTTTAGTCAACACCCTACCTGGAGAGTGTGGTGTGAGAAGTTCCATTAAAAACTAAATACTTGGTAGAACCTGCCAAATGTTAGTGTTTTAGGATTTGAAGTTCTGATTTCTTTTTTTAAGTCAAGCATGATGCTTATGAGAGCATCGAAGAGACTTGATGTTTGGGGCTGGGACAATGATGCAGGAAGGGACATTGTTATGCAGTGATGTTAGAAGTGGGTGTACTTGGGCGAGAAGGTGCTGCTCCCAGGTTTGAGATGCCACAGAAAGTCTCTCATAATGGTTGGCAGGCAGAATTATCACTGCTTGAATTTCACTGGTAATTGTTTGCATCCAGGTTTGTACAGAAATGAGTTGAGGCACCTCCTGGGTTCCCATACTGGGAGGAATCGTAACCCTCAACTGAGAATCACTCATCTGGAGGCAGTGGCTTACCTGCGCAGCTGCACTTAGCTTCAGATGAGTTGGAGGGGGTTTCATTTTTACGTGTTTGACCGTTGTGACGAAGCTCGCTATCCACAAATAGTACTGAGAATGTCAGAGGCTGGATTTGAGCAGGCTTGCAGCAGCCACCTTGTTCTGTCACACATAGTGAAAAGTCGCTTTTCTGGAGCTGGTTCTGTCAGTGAGGTTCAGTATAGCATTCTGTAAATACATTTGCAGAGCGTGTAGATATCTGCTAGAATTGTTAACAGTGGTATGAAGTTATGCACACAGCTTGCACATTTCATGAAGCTGATTTGGGTATTGCATCTGCTATATGAAATATATGGTCCCTGATAGACTCCACCTTCGGAAATTGTAGGATGGGGCAAAGGCTGGGCTTGGAATAAATGGCATGGGAATAATCCAAACAAATAATAATAAGCAGTAATCTTTGAAGGCCCTCTTCCATTCACAGCATTGATTTCAGTTGCGTCTGTATGAAGGAAAATATATTTTATTGGTTAAGCGTCTAGATATGTGTAAGTTAGACTTTGGGAACTTAGTCAAAAGGAATAATGATCACCTAAAAGTGTAATCAGTCAAATTAAGATATGGAGAGATGTAAGTTAAGTGGCTGTAGGAAACTGTATGCTAAAGCAGTTTTGTGTATGTTCGGCCCTTATTTTTAGACTAGAATGATGCACCAAACGTGATCATGCAGCATTCTGCACATAGCAGTCAGCAGGTCCTCATCTCCTCCTTTTTATTGTGGAATTTTTTTTTTCAAAGAGCTTTTTATGCACAAATTCAATGTTTGAGCTCTGGAGCAATTGGAATGGAGACAGGATACACCAATGAGCTTTTTTTTTTTTTTTTTCTGGAAAGTCAGTATCCTGACAAATTGAATGCTGATGTGGTACAAGAAGAACGGCCTGGACTGCTGGCTGTCTCCCATGACTGATACTTTGGGGGGTTTTGGATGGAATTTTGTCCTTAGAAAAATACTTGCTTGAAAGCTGATAACTCAGCTTTGTAGGTACTACTGGCAAAAGCAAAGTCAGCTCTCCTTGCTCTCCTGTGTGTTTTTAACAAGGGAGGGCATCTCCCGAAACAAATCACCATGTCCACCATCTTCCTTAATCTCTCAAAGTCTGCCAACAGGGACACCAGTGGGAGTCGTGAAATATTTGTGCTGACAAAGTCGGAGTCCCATCCTCAGTGTTGCGCGAGGAGCGTTCACATCTGTTCTTATTTTAACACATTGGTTTAACCACAGAGTTCTTCTAGGTTCTTCTGGAATATTATGACTGATAACCAGAGCTTGTTTTTGCTTGAGCTTTCCAGGATTTTAGCAGCTAGTGTTTCTTTTCAATTTGAACAGCGTGTTCTGTCATGGCTAATTAAATTCCTTCTGGCTGATGTGCAGATACACGCTGTTGATGATGTTAAGTGTAAACATTTGTATGTTATTTCTTCTTGAACATTGCCAGGTGACGCATCATATATAATCACGGTAATTTTGATGAATCATATTTGCAGTTTGGCTCTCTGGGGCTTGTATGGGAAGTTTTTGTTCCAAAGTGAGCATGAAAATGAACGAGTGTGAAAAAGTACAGTGATCTTCCTTCTCCTTTCTGAGCCCAGAATATCATTGAGCACTGTCCTCAGACTTCAGTGGCAAATAATGGCCATTTTAAAAACCTGGTGTTAAATTCTTGCTGTTCTAACTAGAGTATGAAAATTACTTTAACTGCTTTTTTTTCATTGGAAATACCCCTGTGGCAAAATATTTTGCATAGATGATTAAATTGGAAGTAAGTGTTTACACTTGTGTATAATCAATACTCTCTGCTTTAAAAATAAAGGACCCTTCCTCAGCTTAATATCTTGATGTACGGGTATCTTAGAAATCAGCTCAGATGGGTCCATACAACAAGTATTTCAGTTGCAGGTCAGATCTTGGTCTCCTCAGTTGCATAAGTAGTCTTGTTCATATTATGGGATTATTGGTGTGAGTGAGGTTTGCAACATGCTGCCTTCTTGACTTTGGGCCACTGCAGGGCCAGCTGGGACTTGCAATGCAGGCAGAACTGCACATGCTGGTTGGGGCTTTAACAATGCTGCAAATTAAGGTCAACATTATTGCAATGTATATTAATGCATGCCTCTTTTTTTTTTTTCTTCTAAGGTTTTTGGATTCAAAGCATAAAAACCATTACAAGATATACAATCTGTAAGTATGCTCTTGTAGATGTGTTTTTCCAAAATAATAAGTTCTAAAAATAGCTTACAAGTGAAAGTGGCTTGTTGCTGTAATGAAGCAGAGCTGGAGATGTTTTGCGCATTTCTTAAAACAATTAAGCCTGATTGAGAGCACTGTTACTTCGTTTAGTGGAGCTGAGTGAGGTTAAATGAAATGCTAGTGTGTATTCATATTACTTGAACGCTTTTAAATGACTTGGCATCTAGCCCATCTGGAGCTTGTACCATGTGATTAAAAAGTGAAAAGTAATTCACAGTAGGCTTTCTGTTAATGTATTAATGTCCGCAATGAAGAAATTGCCAAATTAATATTTTCCTGTGGGTTTGTTTTTGTTTTTTTTTTTTAATCGAACTGTATTGGTACCCAGGTTCTGTTTGCTTCCTCACTCTTCCTGACTGTCCCTGTTTCTTACTTTGAAAAAGCAATTGCAGCAGTTGGTGATGTGATGGTTTCTCACTTTAAGTGTAATGTTTTCCTCTGAAAATTTAGTTATGCAGAAAGCTGTTCTTGTTACAGAAGGGATTTTTTTTTGTTGTTGTTGTTGTTTCTTGACCATCTTTATATCTTAGCTTAGGCTAACTTCATTTGTATAAATGATTTGGTGGTGTCAGCTGATGTTGAAAAGTAGGTCGTGGTTTTCCTACCCCTCATTTTTTCCCAGAAATCTAAGTTGAAGATTTACTGATTCTCTGAGTTCTTTAGGCTTTATTTTTTTAAAATTAATATGTTTCTAAATATCTGCAATTAATGGAAAAAATTATTGTAGCATGGAAATCCAGACAATGCATTACATTGTAATCTGTCAGTCATTAAAAATAAGTATTTAAATGTGCTTCTAAATTAGATGAAGCATTATGCATTGAGCAACTGTTTCCTCGTGTTGGGGCAAAGTGGTACTAGAAGCTGAGGAATTGTATACTGGTTATTGAAGTTGTCTGTAAAGCCTCGGGTAGGATGGGACAGGAAAAGATGTGTAAATAAAATATGCATTAAAATAAACTTCTTGGACACCTTTCGAACAGTTCAGTAACTATATTATTTTTTCCAGCTTAGAAGTTCTCCAGAATGTTAGCCTTTTGATAAATGCTCTTTTGATGGAAAGGACAGGGCTTCCTAGAATAGCCGTTAGCTCCTTTTGTGGGTAGGTGCAGCTCTCTGAAGAGGTAACTTCATGGATATCTTCCTTTGAAGTCTTCTGGAGCTCAGCACTAGAGATCCTGTATCATGTAAAATCTGACTACACTCTGGTTTTATTAGAACCCCCCCACCGAAGTCTCCTGACAGCTTCTGCTTGGTCTGGGGAGCAAAGCAGAAGAGGACAGATACAGCTTAATTTCCTCCTGCTTCTTGGGGCTGAGTTCAGCTGTCAGCTTCTGTGAAGTGTGGCTCTTCTGACTTACAAGATCAGGGTTTGCTGTCTGATACTAAGATGGTTGTTTTGAATTGGCTTGAGAGGTGATGGGTGAAAACAATAGGTTGTTGTGTGTTAACTTCTAGGCTTGGTCAAAAAATAAAAGTTCAGCAAGACTTTTGTGCATCTTAGCAAGTAGCTCCTTGGGGAGGCGGTGCTCAAAAAGTTTCCACTTTGCTGGCTGCTAGCAACCTCATTTTATTTTAGAAGAAAGCAAAAACCCATCCGCTAACCGTACACAGGAACAACTGTAAAGTTTTTAAGTAAGAAGAGCTGTGATGGGACAACTGCTTTTGATGTTTACCTTGCCAATATGTGTATTTTCAGCTGTGCAGTGAACTTGTCCAGGTGTGCCAGGAGTTTTTGTCTTCCAAGTTCTTCATATAAAAGTTTTAGCTTTTCATTTCTTGGCGCAAGAACCACCCCCCCACCCCCCATTCCTTTCTTCTTGCTGACTTTGAAACAATTGCAAGTAAAACTTCCTAAAATGACTGTATTTACCCTCAAATGCCAACTTTTGAAGGAGAAAGCATCCTTTTAAAGTGCATGGGTTTTCTTCCTCCCTAAAATATGGATCAGTTGCAAATGAAGATTCAAGTGATGACTGCACAGCTTGGAAAGCATAGCTTTTAAACTGTATAGCTCTGGCTAGAGACACCAGGTTATCTCTTTATGCAGGCAAAATTTATATGCACTTTACGTACATAAACACCATTAGGTGAATTGTTGCAATGTTTGGCCAGCCATGAGATGGGAAGAAATGGCAGCCTTCAGGTATTTCAGAGAACAGTATCTCTTTAGATTAAGCTGATAATTTGTAAATCAACCTATTGTCTGTGTTTAAAAGTAGGACGTGGGAGTTCAGAGGAGTTATGTGATTATATTCAGAATTATTTCAAACACTGTCATGGGGTTTGAGTTCCCTTAAGGTAGCTGTTATATGAATTTGATAATGTGTGTATTGAGCAGTTTTATTTAGAAGGATTTAGAGAATTTTTTAACTGATGTTTAAACAATGTCACGCCTCAGTCCTCACATCTTGGCTTTTAACATCACAATGAATGTTTGAGCAATCAGTTTAATTTTGCTTCTTGTTTGTGTTGGTTTTCTCATGTGTTCCTTTAACGCTGTTCTACTTCTTCAGTATTCTTCTTTATTTTAACATGTTATTTCACTTCCGTCTCCTAACTTCACATATTGCCAAATTGTTACCTCCCCTGTTGTAATAATCTCCATCTTCTCCAGTATATTTCTTTTAACTGTCCTACAGGCAGATAGTTAAGGAGCTGTAATGACCAATGTGTATTTTCTATGCAAGCTTTCCGTATCTCTCTGTACGTAGGGTTGGGCTGTGGCATAGGCTACCATCTTTTCGGTAGCCTGTAGTCATATAGTAGGATCATGGTTATGGTCAGAAAGGTGCCTGGCTGGCAGCACTTAGGGTCTAGGTTGCATTAAACTGGCTTTGATCGTAAGGAGGATTACAAGAACCACAGCAACCAACTCCCCATCCTCAAAATAAAAAAATAATATTTAGATTTCTTCTGGAGAGCTGGCTGTATTACAGGTCTAATAGTTCTGTAAAAAAATGCATTTGAAGTGCTAAGTGACAGAAGCATCCTCCAAAGTCTGTGTTAATGGGATCTCTGCTGCAGATACACGTGTTTTGTGTAATGAAGTGGGGCTACGTTTTGTATAGCTGTGGGTGGTGTACAGCTCCCATAAGAGGGCATAAAGAGTGACATGGCTATGTTTTATGCTCAGTTTCTATCCTTGGTATCAACAAAACTATTTTTTATCCCTTAAGGTATTCTACTTGATGCTCTCTCAAACTTCAAAATTTGGAGGCTTTTTTGCCCGTATGTGGATTTTTTTTTTAGGTTTGAAGACTTTCATCTCTTACTATCTCTTTGAACTGGGTGTTTCTTTGAAAGGAAGAAGGAAACTTTCTTGGATAAGATGCTTTGTGTTAACTGCTGTGCTTCCTAGCAGGCTCAACTTCCAAAGTTCAGATGCTGACTAGCTTGGAACAGGCTTTGCTGATGGCTGCTCCAGACGTGGCGCCTCCATCTTGGGTGTACATACTGTGTCTAAAGTTTCTTGTCAAAGGCTTGAGTGCAGATAATGGGTTTTTTTTGAGCCCCATCTACCAGCTTAACCTGTGCTGTATTGCTTCTGATCCAGATAAAGTGTCAGCAGTGTGATCAGAGCTGTAAAAACTGCCAGACCTTTCCTCAGCAGAGGCTAGAGTAGAGAAAGCTCTGGAATTCAGAGAAAGGGAAGCACTGAGTGCATGTGCAACCCCAGCAGACCTGCCTCTGTCCCTGGTGCGGGAGTCTTATGGACAAAGCTCAATGCAGCACCTGTGAGACTCCAGTTATGTACAACAGTCGTACAAGTAGGAGCCTAAAAGTTTGCGTGTCTGGAAGTGTCAAGTCAGCTCCATGTGACTCCAAAGGCTGCAGTCATAACATACCTATTAAGGCAAGATAAGTTCATACCAGTCCTGGAACTGGTGCGAGTATGTGAACCCTATGAGGAGTACAGGTTACAATCAGAACGGAAGATCTAGATGTGTTTTGTCTACTGAAATGACTCCCAGTCACTGTGCTTCAGCTTGGAGTCCTGTTGTTTGAAGGCAGGATTGTTCTCGTTTTCCTTTCTGAAACACATTTTCACATGCATTGTGTAGGAGCCCATCATTTTTCCTGCAGAAAGCAACTGCTGGGAAAATTATGGAGGGCATCCACTTCCTCCCTTCTTTCCCCTTCCTCCTGACATCTGATCTAGCTTGTTCCCTTACAGAATGCCATTTGGGCTGGATTAGAGCCCTGCTGATTGGATTGTTTATATCCGGTTACGCAGGTCATCCTGCGAGACTAGTATGGTGCGGTTTGCTCCGCTGCTAGCTAGCTGGAGTGGATCTCGTTGTTTATATTGTTTATCCGGTTTATTTATTTATTTATTTATATCCGGTTACTGATGATGATCCGGTCTTCTTAGGCAGGTCATCCTGCGAGACTAGTATGGTGCGGTTTGCTCCGCTGCTAGCTAGCTGGAGTGGATCTCGTACGGAGTGTTGAGAAAGACATTGATGCAACTCCAGAGTCTTCAGAAATATGCCATTTCCCAGGGTCTGTGAGGGGAAAACTGGCTGGCTGGCCTTTTGGGTTTTTTTGAGTTCACCTACTTTCAAGAACAAATGCCAAGTCAGAGAGTGGTATCACCAATCTCTGCTTGACACAAGTGATCTCCATTATACTACTCAGTGGTGCTTTCAGTTGTCTCTGGTGGTCCTGTTGTGGTCCTGTAAGTGGAAGAAGAATGATGCTTGCTTAGGTTGCTCTAGATGAGGGTCCTTGAAATGTCCTTGTGATCCCCATCACCCCTGGCACCCCTGTTGTCATGAGGCATCTTGACATGTGTGTTGTGTTCAGAGTCAGCTGGATGAAGGCTGTAACCGTCTACTCTTCCTGTGCTTCTGTGAGAGCATAAAGCTGCTCAAGCGGCTGGAGCTGTTATTAACTAGAGTGCTAAAATGTAATAGCAAATTGCATTACTTATAAGAATGTCTCCATTGAGAGTTACACAGACTAAAACATACTGGTAGACTATAATTACCTTGGGGTAGGTAATTGGTTTTCAGTAAAATAATTGATATTTTAGAAAGCAACTTTATACATCTGCAGCAAAGCAGTTTTTCTGTATGTAACCTCCAGCTATAGTTTTGAATCATAAAGGTGATGAGTATACAAAATTTTCCCATATGTTGATCTGTACGTTCCAAGGTGTGACAGATGTTGGTAGTGCCTCAGAGACTTGTCTTGAACTCTTGTCTATTTTTCATTTTCAGATGTGCTGAAAGACATTATGACACCGCCAAATTTAACTGCAGAGGTATGTTTTTACTGTCTACTGTGTGTTCTCCTCTTTAAAGTTCAGTGTTTCTGAATGAAGGTATAAAGGAGGAGCTGATGAATAATAGTGTAGATTTGGGCACAAGGAATTATGTCAGATTGCTTTGAGTCATTGGAGAAACTTGCTGTATTCTTGATGCTTTCAAAAAAGTATGTTGTTGACAGTTTAACTAGATCAAGATCTAATAAGGCAATCAGAAGTCTACCGTTGCAAAAATTTTTTGCAGACTGGCTTATATGGAAATTTCTGTTCAATGCAGTGTGCAAACTTACTGTAAAATTTAGATGTGAATCTTAGAGAAGTCTGGTTTTTGTGCAGAAGCATAGCTCAGAATAAAAACGGAAAACAATTAAGCCACTGTCATTCAAGTGTCATTGAAGATCTGGAACAAACCTTCAGTTTGCTTAAAAAAAAAAAAAAAAGAAAAAAAAAAGAGAGAGAACTCCCATGTGAGGCCTCTTTGAAATGAGTTGGTTCTTAGACACTTTGCAGAGCTACCAGAACCCGTGGGGAAACTTTTAGGGGCTCCTTTTGATCAGACCCTTGGTGAGTGGAAACTGTTGTACCTGTTTTGTCCGTATTAAGTCCCCAGGTAATAAATTAAATATAGACTTAACTTTATTCTTTTTCTAGAGGAGCATCTCTGTGCACAGTAGCAGAGCTTGTAGTCCTCTTCATGCAGTGCTTCAGAATGGTTGGATAGATAAAGAGTACTTGTGTGTACGTAATTGCAGGAAATGAATAGATTTTGGCCTTACTGGCTAGTACTACGTCATAGCAAGGGCTCAACTTTATTATTATTAACCATCCTTCTATCTGTAAAGAGGGTGTTTAGGACATGACCAAAATGTAGTTGGCTCTTTTAATGTCTGAATACAGAAGGACTGAAATTCTCATGTTGAAGTCATCTTCGCTTCTAATTTGCTCTTACGATGTTGAATGACAGTGTCCTGAAACCTCACTCAATACATACAAACCAGAAAAAAGGTATTTTAAGATCTGCTTGAGCCATACTTTGCATTGGGTAAGAGGAGAAATTGATGTGCTTCTAATATGTCCAGAACATATGTTCACTTTATTCTTTTTATTATGGGAGTGCTCAGATCCCTTCACTGTCAATCCCAGGCCAAACTGTTTGTGACAACACCTTTCACAGCTCCTCTGCAGAAGTGCTGTTCGAAGGAGCTACATGTTGCATTTTTTTCTTTTCATCCTGAAATTAGTTACCTTAGAGAACGAAATTGGTGTCTCAGGACTTCCCTTAACAGAGGATCAACAGTTCTACTCTAAAATCTTCTGAAGTGAATTAATTTCCAAGGGAACTTCTCATTTGTACATTTGGCATGAAACACCATAGTAGTTCATTATTCAACTTGAATTTCTTGCATCAAATTCAAAAACAAACGTTGAAGGCTCTTCATCTTCTTTGGATGTAAGGTTTCTGCCAGGGTTTTTGCAGTTTCTGAAGTACTTCTGTGCTGGAAATTGTCTTCTGCTTTATGAGAGGCTTGCTTTTTTATTTTTTTCACTCCTTTATGTGCTATGGGATTTTTCTTGCAACATCTAGGAGCTTGGAGAGAATAATTGGAACTGTTCTCCATGCTGTGTGCTCCAGTGTTAGGAACCAAAATCCATGGAGGACCTGCACCCTTTCAAGGACCTGCTCAAGATTGTGCAGCTTAGTGTTTCCTAAGGCTGTTGTCTGACTCTTAATCCTTCTGCACTATCACAGGGCACCCTTTTCATCTGCTTCTCATTCTGTCTTTAAAGAAAATACCGCAAGGTTTGCCTTTGATCCCAAATCTTGGAGAGCATCTTCAACATGCAGTTGTTTCAGGCTGTTCTTTCAGGACTACTTTGTCTTTCCTTTTCACGGGAACCTTATTGGATGTAGCTAAGATAGACTCAAAGTTGTATGGACAAATTCTCGGCATGTCCTAACAGCTTCTTTTCTTAGGGGTCTCTAGATAAATTCTTCCTTTCACTTGTGTCTGTTGCAAAAAGTGGCATCTCTTAAGTTTACATGAAATGATCATTTGGGCAGTCTTTGGATCTTCCAGGTTGAAGAATTGATTAGTGCATGCTCGTGTTCGTTGACGTTGGTGCTGCTTTAGCACAGATTATTCATTTCATCAGGCTTCCCTGTCTGGTGTTCTGGGAGATTAAGTGGGCGGCGTGCACTCCAAGGGAATAAACTGTCCTTGCGAATCCCTCTAAAAGGCTTCAGACTTCTGCTGCAGTAATTTATCAGTTCCATAACTTCACCCCTCACTTCTGCTCTTTAAGTCCTTGGGGATTCATCCAAAAGAGCCTTGCATGTGTGACAAGAGAGTAGTACTTAACGAAACGAATACGAACACTTGCCAAAAAATGAAATGTATTCATTTTTAGATCAGAAAAGGAAATGGTGTTTCTAGCTGAGAATTTTCAAGTGAACAAGAGTTGTAGTTATAAGATCCCAAGCCTGTCGATAAAGAGTTGGGGTGCACTTTATAAAAAGTGCTGTGCCTCTGATGACACTCGTACAGCCCCATGTAATTCTGCCAGTCAGCATGGCATTGTCATCGTATCTGAGGTGTTAGAGCTGCTTGTCTCTGAATATTGCTTATTTTTTTTCTCTCTTGAGTTTTCTTTCATTTCCTGCGTGCTTGCTTGAAATTCTTTCCATCTCTAGATGGAAAAAGTGCTTCTGTGCTTGTATATATCCATATAAGAAAGAAAGACAACTTTGTTCAATCATTTGACTTTAAAATCCATAAGTATTGCAGGTGCCTTACATGAGATTTCTTTTTCGATTACAGTTTTTTAATATGGAAATTTGCAGGTTTTTGTTTTAAAACTCCTTTGAGCAAATTCTGAGAATTTGTTCCCAATGTGGACCCAACTGCACTAAATTTTTCAGCAAAATTCCTATTGTCTGTTCAGTGACAGAGGTCTGGCTCTGCTTTCTCTCAGCAGGTCGTCTAATTATTGCTAGAGTAATGGGTTTTCACAAGGTTGTTATTTGTGCCAGCACACTATTAAATTCTAGAAAATCTGTGATGTTAAGATACAGAGTCTGTGCCACTCATTTCAGTAGTGGTGTGAAATTGTCTCTTCATGTGGCAGGATGCCTGCTTGTGTATTACTAGAGAAATGTTTGCAATGCATTTAATATGCAGTACTTTGCTGAATAATATTGGAATAAAAAAATTACATATCTATATGTAAGACAGGGAGTTTTATTTAGAAAGCTAGTTTTCTTGCATGCTTGTCACAAAGTTGACCTGTCTAGTTGAGCTTGCTGTAATTTCCTTTTGAGATTCTGATAAATGACTTCTCATTGCAGTTGCACAGTACCCTTTTGAAGACCATAACCCACCGCAGCTAGAGCTTATCAAACCTTTTTGTGAAGATCTTGACCAATGGCTAAGTGAAGATGACAATCATGTTGCAGCAATCCACTGTAAAGCTGGAAAGGGACGAACTGGTGTAATGATATGTGCATATTTGTTGCATCGAGGCAAGTTTTTAAAGGCTCAAGAAGCCCTAGATTTCTATGGGGAAGTAAGGACCAGAGACAAGAAGGTGAGCTATTTTCTGTTCTTCTGTCTGCATCTTTGTGCTTTTCCTGCTTGAGGTCAATTTGAATAGTCAAGGCCTTCAAGAAATACTTTCCATAAGTTGTGATATGTTGTTTGATTTAGCTTTAACATTATTGGATCAGTGCAGTTCTAGATGAAAAAGCTTTCCTAAGCAGCAGTAGCCATTAGTCACAACGCTAAAAGTCTGTTTTTCCCATCTCGTGTTCAGGAAGATCTGGACAGTGTATTTTAAATAGCCTTTGAAATAGCATTCTGTGGCATGTTGCATCAAATGGCCGGTTCATGCGGGAACTGTCTTGTTCAGCGTTTTCAGCCCAAATAGAGGACTATTCTAGCTTATTTGCCTGAATGGATGAGTTGTTCATCTCCTCAGGTTCTCTTAATTTCTGTGGTGGTGTTAGGAGATGCATAGTCATTACAGTGTGTGTTACAGTTGAATAGCCCTAGTGGAAGAGTCTGCTGGAGGAGTCTGTTGTTGGATACCCCTTTTCAATAAGAAGGTAGTTGAGCCCAGATATTGGCTGCCTCAGAGTTGGCTTCATGAAGTGCTGCTGTTTAGTTTCTCAGACTTCTGAAGAAAAATGGGAGAATCTAATTTCAGAGAACTGTTAAGACCATGTCAGTGGTACAAATGGGTAACTGTACAAGTAGCAGCAACTGTATGTTGGACCTTTCTGGCACGGTTATGCCTCATTAATGGGAATCTAACCTTATTTGACATCTTCTCCAAATACAGTAAGGTGTGACTTGCAAGGTCACTTCAGCAGGCTTCCCTGCTCATCTTCCATTGTTTCCTTCTGTATGTTGGTAGAGCAGCCCAGGGGGATCATCCTGGCAGGCTAGTTTCAGCTTTTCAAGTACAGAGTTCTCTGTGTTCCCGTAATATTTGCATCGAGTATTAATTTCACAGTATGCAGACCTGTAATAAGCAGAGCTTCATGTTTGAAGGCTCTTGAGAGCAGAAGTATCGCATGAGGAACTTTAGAATTTGGCTGTTAATTCATTGGAAGGAGCAAATAAATTCTTAGTTTGCTCTCTTTACAAGATGGAGCTGTTATTCCACATACTGCTGAGAAGATAGTTGTGTAGTACTACAGCGGAGAGAGTGTCAAAGTTTCCCATCGAAACTTTGTGAGGTTTGCTAAGTGTGCATCATAGTGAATAGGAATGAGCTGTGCAATGAATAAACAGTGTTGATTACTCCTGCTGATAAAGATTTATCTAAAGAGATGTATAAAATATAATTAAAACTTCAAAACTTAACAAATACACGGTGAAGCATGTTGTACCTCAGTTTCCGTTTTGTAAAAAGAAGTTAGGGTTTCTGCACGTGAGTGTGTTGAGTGTAGGGTCAGTTAGGTGATCATCAGTACCCCAGTGGTACCTCTGGTATGTTTGAGGTAAGGCAGAACTTTGTAAACAGGAATAGTGAGAGCCTTGTTTAGCTTCACTGTAAATATTGTCTCTAACTAGCAACTTGGTTTTGGATTTGATGTCTCTACTGGAAGAGTTGATTTGTTGTGGGTTTTTTTTTGTTTTTGTTTCGTTTTTTTTTTTCTTTTTTTTTTTCCCAGCTCTGCTTGAGTATGGTTATCTTTACCGTGGACAGTGGGCAGCATGTGATTCACATAATCCTTAAAGTAGTATTTATGAACAAGTATTCAAGTGCAGGTTCTGGGAGCTTTTTCTTCCCTTGTGACCCATATTTCAGTGTTATATGTCAAGTGCTGCTCTCTGATTTGACACTTCACCACACCTTTATGTAACTGACTTCCTGAACTCAAAGTGAATGAGGCATCAAAAGAGCTGTTAGCACTGAGGGACAAGAAAATGCCTCTTTTTTTTCTTTTCTTTTTGTTCTTGCTGGACTAACATATGTATGCTGAAGAGAAACTGGCTTAGTTACCAATTTTTCTCCATGTAAAGCAAGCACATGGCGTGTGCTTTGAGCTACTCTGAGTAGTGTAGCTAAAATCGCTGTTGCCATTAATGTGCATGGCAAAGTGATTCTCAAGAGGGTTTAGTCCATGCCGGCAGGAAGTGTAAGTCTGATTGCAAGAGGAAGTATGACTAATTGGTCAAGAGAACAACCTCGAGTACTTCTGTAGCAAGCTTTTCCCAAGCGCCTGCTGGGAAGCAGCTTGACGGAGGCCTTTGCGACATCGAGTGAGAGTTGTTGTAGATGGGGCTGACAGTTCCTAGATAGTCTGCCTCTGACCAAAAACTGTTTGTGTTTTTGTTTTGTTTTGGTTTTTTTCTCTGTAAGCGGCCTCTTCTGTAACTCATCATATTGGGGAGAGCTTTTTCAGAAAAAGGGAATGATGAAGATTAGAATGTATTGGCTAAATGGTTGTCTGTCAGTCGCCACCACTGTAGTAGAACAGGACTGAGTTCTTTTTTCTTTGAATCAAGGGAGACAAACTGTTTTCTGAAATTGGATAAAGAACTGTAATTGTCCAGACTGTTTTCAGAGCTGGGGGAGAAGTAAACCTCAAAAAAGTCTTGTAAAAGGGCTGCTGTTTCCACTGTTTGACATGATTAGCTTATCACCTCTTTTTTCCTTAAGATGTATGCTGAAATAGTACTGTGATGATAGACTGACACCTTCCTGCAGCTGGAGGTCTGTCTTTATTCCTGCTTCTGCCTTGAAGTGACTGTGCCCTTGTACTCGGCACTGGTGAGGCTGCACCTTGAATCCTGTGTTCAGTTTTGGGCCCCTCACCACAAGAAGGACATTGAGGTGCTGGAGCAGGTCCAGAGAAGGGCAACAAAGCTGGTGAAGGGTCTGGAGCACAGGTCTTATGAGGAGCAGCTGAGGGAGCTGGGGTTGTTTAGTCTAGAGAAGAGGAGGCTGAGAGGAGACCTTATCACTCTCTACAACTACCTGAAAGGAGGGTGTAGTGAGGTGGGTGGTGGCCTCTTCTCTAAAGTAACAAGTGATAGGACAAGAGGAAATGGCCTCAAGTTGCACCAGGGGAGGTTTAGGCTGGATGTTAGAAACAATTTCTTCACTGAAAGAGTGATCAGCCATTGGAACAGGCTGCCCATGGAAGTGCTGGAGTCACCATCCCTGGAGGTGTTCAAGAGATGTGTAGATATGGTGCTTCAGGACATAGTTTAGTGAGTTAGGTGGTGTTGGGTTGATGGTTAGACTTGGTGATCCTTGAGGTCTTTTAAAACCTTAATGATTCTATGATTCTGCAAAGGGTTTTATGGTGAGGATTAGACTTGGAAGGAAGCATGGCTTCCTCAACAGATAGGTATCAGCTGGGAACAACTATTCGGGTGCTTGAGCAGGAGATGATCCATTCAGGAGTGTTCTCAGACTGTCCTACTGGCGTGTTTTTAGGAAAGGCTCCTAATAGGGGTATAACTGAACAGGAAATGGGAACTCAATTATTTTGTGCAAGGAAGTCTCAGAATGACTCTTTTTTCACGAGGTTCGATATCCAATGTCTGCTGTGTCAGAGCCGATCAGTTACGTTTGCCATACTCAGGTGACAACTTCTGCTAAACCTGAAGCTGTAAGCCTACTCTGAGGCTGCAGCTTCAGCTTTACTCTCACAGTAGGGCACATTATTAAAGTGAATGTGGGATATTACTTCAAAAATGTTTGTTCTTCATAATACTGCCTGTGCTACATTGAGAGGAGAACCAGGAATAGCACCTGACAATTTCTGTGATACCTACACAGCTCTGCAGTGCCCTGTGAAACTCTAGCATAGGGGATAGAGAAGCTTATCTAATGTCCATTTAAAAAGTGATGATGGTGATAGGTGGGAAATGCAGACTTCTTGAGGAGAAAATACTTAAACTCCTTCCCTGTTCTTTATTGTTGACTAAAAGTAAGTGGGGGTCGATTGCACCTCTCAGATGATTAGTTTGTTATGAAAGTGTTCTGCTTTGAAATCAGACCTTTGGAAAACTGAGAACTTTCTGTTCTGCTTTAGTGTGGCTGGCTCTTAGGATCTTGGGGTAAAGGCTATGTCTCTAGGGAGTAAAAATCACTGTCTGGAGAGACAGAACTGCCCTCTTGGCTGAGAACTGGTTTTGCTTTGAGATCAGCGATCGCTTTATATAGCTGCAGAAGCAATTGTGTTCTCTTCATTCTGGTCACAGGCCCAGTTGTCCCAATAAGGTTTGCTGAGGTTTCTCCATGGGGCACATCCTTACGGGATGGAGAAGCTATAAGTAGAGAAGGATGCATTTTCCTTACCTGCCTTTCTTCTGGCTGGCAGCATTGGCAAGTTACTGATGGTTTGCTCTGAGACTTGGGTTTGTCTTAACTGTGAAGCTTGGATCCCAGGAAAGCAAACTTCAAAGCTCCCTTCAGAAGTGGGTTGGGTAATACTGAGATGACACCTGAACCAAAAACACTGTCAGTGTGGAAGGTTGTTGTACAAAGTGCTGAAAAAAGTCTTTTGTGTAATTTAGAAACAGCTGAAGTGGTAAGAACATAAAATTATTAACTTTTTTTTAAAATAATGGCAGGAGGTGAGTATTTTCATGTGTGCAGGATAGATGCTTACTAAATTAAAGGTACTTTGGCCACTCTTAGCTTATGGCTGTTGTAAGGTGAAGTAGATAATTAGAACTCAATTTATAGAAATCCTTTGTTCTAGGTTTTGTGACCAAAATGCTCATAGACTTGACTATGAAAACCTTTTCTTATCTCCAGTTTATTGCAATTTCACTTTCAGTTTTAATATGAAAGTTTACTTACTGATACTGTTGCAGGTATATAGTGTGGTTTGTTATAAACCGTATCTTATGTTTTCTTGGAAATTCAGTTAGTTTTCATCTTTATCACTTTCACTTGAACATACTAGCTTATAAAACTTCTTCCCCTGCTTGAAGTTTAAGTTGATTTAAAATCAGTAATAAAAGTGTTCTTTGGTTATATGTTCTTGAAGCAAGTGTTTATTTGAGAGTTATAATTTGACAGAGAAGTCCTTCATGTAACAATTTGGGCTTTTGGGCCTATGTTAATGAAACTTTCCAATTCTAATATTTGTGAAAACATTTCAGAAAGGCATTTTGTACTAGAAAGCAGCATCAGTATTGAATACAGTGATATTAGCAAGGAAAACTAGAATCTTTTGTCCTAAACTGCTGTCGAAATGCAATTCCTGTATTGGTGCTTAAAAATTCATACGTTCAAGGCGCCTCCTGCTTAATGTCAGAACTCCCCACCCCAAAAAAAAGCAGGAGCATGAAACCATCTTTTACATGACCCTCAGGGTCTCTGAAGTGTTTGTGTTTAAGATATGGAAAAATCTGCATTCTTTGCCTCATTGCTTGAGACAGATGTTTGGAGATACATACTCAAGTCACTGGAAAACCATTGTCCTGCTTGTTCCATTCTGGGAACTGGTCGGTAATTAGTTGCCTGGTGTTAAATACTGTGTGCGAACAGCTTCCTCTTGAACGCTCTGCGGGACACTCGTACAAGAGGCGTGACCACGTGTCTAGGGAAAAGGGGAACAGGGACAGAGGCTGTCGTTGGGAATGGTTTGGAGATGGATCATGGCTTTGCTGGTCCTGAAGGTGCCCAGAATGGTCCACAGTGAAGAAATTGCTGAGGGTTGTCATGAGTGACTGTGCTAAAAACCAGCATGACAGGGTTTTTTGAAGTGTAGAAAACAGTGCTGCACTCCCCTGCTTTCTAGGTACAGCCAGCATAGATGCTTTGTGTGCTGGTCTCCAGCACAGCTGCTGCAGAGGTATACTCAGCAGAAATCATGATGGCTTATTCCAGGTGCTCTAGCTACTTTTTAATTCGTGGTTTATTTGCTTTTGCTTCTATTCTGATATAATGGACCAGAGGTCTGTTAGTGATGCTAATAGATGGTCTTGATGGTTTTTGACTTTTGTTTTCCCTCTGTTTAGGGAGTGACAATTCCCAGTCAGAGACGCTACGTGTACTACTATAGCTACCTGTTAAAGAATCACCTGGATTACAGACCAGTGGCACTGCTGTTTCACAAGATGATGTTTGAAACAATTCCCATGTTCAGTGGCGGAACTTGCAGTAAGTACCCAGCACCCCGTTAACCTCTGTTAGCTCTCGTAAGGAAATGCATCGGCCTTTGAACTTGGTTTGGTTATGTGACGGTTGCCATTCTGTTACGTGACACGAAGAGCTGCACATCTTGATCAAGGGAGGAGAAGGTTGTATTTAAACACTTTGTGTTGAAAATCTGCTGTGGTCTGTCCACTAGCATCCTCCCAGGTGTATTAAGTTGTGGTCTGTGAAGGACTCATAATGGTTGTTTCACTGCAGTTTTAAATTGAGAAACACTAACAGTTTGAGGATAAGTAATGCCATATATATATATATTTGGATATTTTCTCCTTACTTTTATAAAAAGCCTTTTTTTTCTTAATATAGCAACTCTTGGGAAACATGACTTGCTGAAAAACATTTCCTTAATGGCATGTTGGCTTCAGATGCAGTAACATCATTCTTCTCATGGTGTTTTTAAAAGAAAAATTGGTTCATCTGGGTAAATAGCTAGTTCTGGAATAAACTTTTCTTGGTATAGAGGTTTATAAAGTATTAAAATACACCTGTAAAGGATTAATCTGGTTTGCTGATACACAGTGTGTTAGTAAGGAACAGCAGAATCCTTGAAACTTTGAAACATAAATACAAATTAACTTCTGCCCTTCTGTGGGCTGCATTACAGGGTAGTAACTGCCTAGCGTTGCATGTTCATTTTTTGTTAGTGGAAAAAAATCTTTCTAATGGTTTTGCTATGGAGATTACTGGAATGTGTAATTAATTCCAGTGCCTCCTGTGGCTTTGATTAAAATGGCACTATTAATGTTGTTGTGAGACAGTACCTGAACATGTAACGCGCATAAGAAACAATCCAGCAACTTGTAGGTCTAGCAGAATTTACAGGAGGAGGAGTAAGGGACCTCTGCCTCTAGGGTAGAGGTGTGGAGGTTACAGATTTCTGCAGTTACCACTTATTTAATGTTTTGGTGAAGCTGTGCTATCCTTGCGAAATCATGCTACAAGTATGAATTGCTCGCGTGAGTGTTAGCTTGTTTGTCCATTCCAGGCTGTTAGCATGCTGTTTTCACAGTAGGATGTTGGGGTAAACAAAAAATCTGCTAAGCGTGTGAAAGGACAGAGTAACTATCTACTTGGGCATCTTTGTGTACTACAATATTTTATGTTTCTGTGGAGCTTGCAGTGATTTTTTCTCAGAATGTGAAACCAATGGTCTGATATTTCTTTAGTCGTGTTATTTTTTCAGTCATGTTATCTATTGTGATGGCAGTAATTTTACCAACACATGATAACTTTATGTGACTTTCTTGTTATCTTCTGTCTGTTTTATAAAGCCACTGACCGAGCAGAGTGGTGCATCTTGGGCAAAATGAGGGGATGGTGGGGTTTCACGGCTCTGAGGATTTGAGGGAGATGCGTAGTGGTTTTATAGCCAGGCTGTTCAGCAAGATAGCATGGATGTGCTCAGCAGGGACTTGCACAGGTCTTGCAGGGGTGGTTGCAGGGTGGCTATGCACTCTGTGGCAGGATATGGCTCAGTGTGTCTTGTCTAGTCTCCGTCTGATACCAACAGAGAAGTCGGGAGCAAATGCAGAAAGACTTCTTCGAATAAGTTTCATTTAATATTTCTGGCTCTTTTGCTGGTGTCTGGCAATTTCCAAAGCAAATCTGCTCAGGCTGCACAAAAAACCCCTCATAACTTCAGCTGTTACCCCTGTGGATTTAATTTGGAAAGTTATACAATGGCTGGCACTTTGTTGGTGATGGTGATTTACAGGACAGACTTACTGTCTGTGTCTGTATAGTGTGTCGGTTTGTGTACTAATGTTAAATTTTCTCCTTGTTTTTGTTTGTGTAACAGTTCTGTTTCTGTAAGAGTAGAAATAAGTTTGTGCTGACGTTACCGCCCATTCCAATGCGAAGAAGAGATGAGAGAATAAAACCCCTCAGCTACATCTATATAATCTAGAAATGATATGCAAGGAAAATTCAAAAAGCTGTCACTTCATATAGTCATTTCTTATTATATTAAAATGAAACTTTCTAGGAATCCTATGTTTGCCTGAGAGTATTGCAACAAAGGACAAAAATCTGTAATGTTTTTTACAATAACATCTAGTAAAGTTTGATGCCCTGTGGTGCTTAGCTTTTAATATTTATTTAACTTTCACGATATTGTAGCTCACAATTGTGATTCTGATACTAATATTGTGCTTTTTGACCCTTTAAGGCATTTCTTACGAAGTGACACTCTGTTTTGCCGTGCAGATCCTCAGTTTGTGGTGTACCAGCTAAAGGTAAAGATATTCACCTCCCCTTCAGGACCCTCAAGGCGTGAAGACAAGTATATGTACTTTGAATTCCCTCAACCTTTGCCGGTATGCGGTGATATCAAAGTGGAATTTTTCCACAAACAGAACAAGATGTTGAAAAAGGTTGGTTTTCTCGCTCTTCTGGAAAATGTTGTTGAACCACTCCTGGTGCAGGGCTGGGATGCTGGTTATTCTTCAGTGATGTGTAATCACAGTATTTAATTCTTTGATGTCTCATTTTCCCAATGAGAAAATCTACCACAAAATGAAAGCTGAGCATTTTGAGAGTTGGTGAGATGAAGTACAAAAGTTGGATAAAAATTATACTGGATATGGATTGCAGTTGTTTGGGTCGTAGCGAGTAATGAGGAAGAAACATTCTCATTCTAAAAATAGACTTGCATACTGAGCGAGGTAACTCCAGCTGTTTTTTTCTCTAAGTTTTCCTAAGGTTTGAGCAGGCACAGGCACAGAAGATCCTGTCTGTGTGCTGTTGGCTGATTTCTATCCATCTGTCAAATTTGGTTAAATTTCCAAGATAATTGAGTTCCTGTGCACTTTGTAAAAGTATCTTTGCAATCTGTTCAGCCATCTCGTGGTTCCTAGCTGCAGTGGCTTGATGTTAGGTGTTTAGAGAATTCACTCAGAACTGAGAATTTTAGTAGTGTCTCAGTCGTGGAAAAAAACTAATCTAGAACTTACTTCGACACCAAAGTCAGCAAGCTCTTAAAGATGAATGCCTCTTCACTGCGTTTCATTAATTCTGGTGCTTGGGGAGCTAGTTTGCATCTACCAGAGTGAAAGGTGAGGATGAAACCATGTTGATAAAAGGCTACTTTTGTATTTACTACTTTAAATTCTTTATGAATAGTTATACAAAGGATGTTAGAAAATTTAAGAGCATTGGTGAATGAATCATGTGTACAAGCAAAGCATGAAAATAAGAAAATACTGGAGTGGGCTGGGAGACCAACATTAAGTGATGAGATAAATCTCTTATAACTGTGAATGCAGGTTGTACCTACTAGATGCATGTGTAAATCAACATTCTTGTGGGCTTACTCTGTTACAAGGTATTGTTAACTAGTTTAATGGTGTAATTTCATTAGCTGGAAATGTTGTGTTCGATTGTTTGCTGTGCGCTGATGTCTGCAAAAGTTTTTTAAACAGTTTCTTAATGGGAATATTGTCGTCTTCTGCCTGTTTAGTGAGATGGTTTAGTTGGTCAGTGCAGCTATATGCAATACAGAGAACTGTAAAACAAAGCATTTTAAAAGTAGAAATTCTACTTTAAGTCAACATTAAAATTATTGACATTTGAAACTGCAATGTACAGGAGCCAGTTTTGAGAACGGACTTTTAAAGGAGCAGCCAGATAAGTACTGTGGGCTAGACCTGAGGGATGCAGGAAGGAGATAAAACAAAACCCAAACATTTGAGGCAAGGTTCTGTTTTATCCTGTCTCTGTCCTGTCTTAACTGTGAATTTGTCGTTTCTCTACCATCTTCAGTAACATGTGGATTGCAAATGGGCTTTTTAGGGAGCTGCACTGTCCCTCCCCAAGTGAGCCCCTGAAATATCACAGTGCAGCTCAGATGCTGGATTTTGGCTCTGTAGCACCAGAAACAAACTCCTGTATTAGTTTTACCTCTATAGAGAGCACTGAGATCCAGTGACAGCATAAAGCAGAGCTCCTTGTTATCACATACCATTTCTGTAGTATAAATGCTGTCTTCAAGAGTGTGTAGAATTGTCTGCAGAAATGCATCAAGTGCATTACCATACTGTAGTTTCATTTCAGAGTGTCCTATCAGTCATGGTTTCATTTCTTAAGAATCTCTTTGTAGTTTCTGAGTAGCAGGTTGTTTTTTTTCTTTTTTTTTATCCTTTTCAAGTACTCTTAACTATTCAGATTCTGTGGATTACAGATAGTGCAGAGTTGCTCATTTTCTCAGTATTTTTGGACTACTGGGGCCAAGAAATGCTGAGATGGTGGAAGCTCTTCTTTCCATGGCTGCAGGTTTTTTCTGAGAGATAGAAACTGTCCCTTCACACCACCTTCATAATCTGCCTCAAAGATCTGTTGAATCTAGTGTCTAATGGCCCTCAACCTTGTGTAAGAATGGAGGCCAAAAGAAAGTAGGTGTATGGTGTTATGCAGGCCTGGTAAGAACACCTCTCTTAGCTTTGCTGTAAATACTGACACAAACTGAGAGCGTCTGGACTGGGTCCATGGATTCTCTCAAATGTTAGTCTGTTCTACGAAACCATTGCCGAGGTCTTCATATTGAGAATTAGTGAAATGTTCGATCTCTGACGTGTGCCTTGGTACCAGAGGAGATTCTTCCACGTGGTCCTTTTGACAGCTTGTTACGTAAAGTGATTAAGATGGGAATAGGGCAAAAGGTGAATATTTGTGGCAGAAAACATACCTTGGCACAGATTTGAACACATTCTTCCTCCGTGTGAGTGTTTCACTCTGTGCCTCTTCCTTTTCTAGATCAACTGATTCTACACAGTTCTTATTCAAAACCCCCTAAGAGAGGGCCTTCCACTGTGGACACTTGTCACATTTTGGAGGTCATCTCTAAACAGTGATCACCAGGGTCACTGTATGAAGAACAGCATAATTAGGAGTAGCAGGATCTTATCTTTCAGAGATTCTGGTTTATTCACTTGTGTTTGTGAAAGCTGAATTTACGGGTCTATTGCCTGTCGCTGATTCTTGCTCCTCCAAGGTTTTCTGTTAGCAGATTTATAAGTAGCTGCTAAACTTGTTTTCTTGCACACACATAAAGGCATCATATATCTACCAGTCAGCATTTTAACTTCCCATAAGAAACCTAATCGAAAAACTAATAACACTAATTAAAAGTGTAATTCACAATCCATTCTGGACCTCAGGCTGGAGAATGGCTATATGTCATCTCTGTAGATAAAGGAAAGTTTTGTGTCCTGCTGAGCTTGGTTTGGTGTTTGATACCACTGATCTCAGCTGAAGCACTCCAGATTTGCTCACCTGTACTTGCTTTCAGATTTTTTAATTATCTGAAGAACAGTAGCATTAACTGCTGAGCTCTCTAGTATGGAGGGTCCTTCTCAACTTTGATTGAGCTCTTCTTGGATAAAATTATTGTGCACGAAACAAAAATTTGAATGGCCAAGTGACTGGAAGCACCTGGCCTTGTGGTGTCAATGTGAAAGTTAAAGCAGTCAAATTTCCTGGTTTTTTAATGGCAAAACTTAATTTAAGCAAATTCAGTGGCTAGTGAGAGCTGACCTCAGCCAAAGGATTATTGGAACTGGTGAGAAGATGTTGCTAAGAGGGTGACTGCTTTGAAAAAGTTACCCTGTTTCAGCTCTTCCATAGTCTATGCCACCTGGCATCAGTTAGTAAATCCACAACTTTTGGTCTTTTCTTGTCTAATAAGGTTGTTTACTTTATTCTTGGACCATTTCTTCAGTATGATGCAGCTACCTCCTTTCAAGAATGAAATGCATTCTCATATGAGAACAAAATGGCTTGAGGCTCGAGTACAGTTACTGTGTATGAATTTCTGATGGATGGAAGTTAGTAATTTGGAGATCTTTTTGAGTGTGGTTTGTTTCTCTGACATGTAGCTTGGCTATTCTTCCATCTCAGACTGCTGCTAGAGTCTCTGCTTCAGTGTATCTGCGTGAAGCCTTTTTCTTCCAGTTATTGATGTTGACGGGATAATCTTAAAAGTATTTCAGAGTATCCTTATATCACTTGGTTCAATGAAAGTCTGTTTAAAAATAATACAGAAGATTTTGTAATCTTTCTACCTGCAGAGCTTGGGGGTAAAGGAGACCTTTTTCAGGAGTCCTGCCAGTACAAATGAGAGGGGAACATTGGTGTGGGGTGTTTTTGTAAAAGTCACTGCTGTTTTATACCCGGACTCCAGCGTGGGCAGGGCTGACAGCATTGCCTGAGTTGCTGGGTATGCCATTTCATCTCTTGAGGCTGGATAGATGAGAAGTTCTGCTACACAGTTCAAGAGGACTTTGGGTGATTGCTGTTTAGCAAACACTGAAGAATGTATTCTGAAAATGTCAGAAGACTTGTAACTGTTGATCTGAAAATGGTCCAAGAAGTTCCATCAGCCATGGCTATGGGAAAGCTGTGAGGCCAGCATGGAACAAGTTGAAACATGATCATCTTCTGATTGCTGGATAGCATCTCCAAAACCCTTAGCTGGCACTGCAAATTGATTATAAGTGCCTGCAGATCTCTCAGCAAAACTAAACTCCTAAGAGGATACAGGAACTCCTAGCTGATGGCTTAAATGATCTTGGATTTGGTTCTCAGTCTGCAGTTAGAGTCAGATACCTGCTCTAGAGTGAGGTATATTTTTCTGTCAGTCTGAGAACTGGAAAACTGCACAAACAAAAACAACAAAACAAGGGATAAGCCTTGTATGTCAAAGTGGTGGGATTAAATCAGCTTCCGTCTCAAGTGTGTGATAGTTCACTGTAGATTTTATGATATAGATCTGGTTATGGGAAGAAATATGTCTGCGATTTTTTTATTATTATTATTATTTAAAGCATATGCCTGTGATGTAACTGGAAGTGAAGCAAAACACATTCCAAAAAAGCCTCTAGCTACTACTTGTTTTCAGAAGCCTACTCATTAAACTGTGTTCCTGTGAGCACTTGATCTGGTATTCTGATTTGCTATATAAAGCCCAAGTTCAGTTCGTGCCTTGATTGTTAAAATGCCTGTCTTTGGCCTATATTACATAAACTTTCTTCAGTGTCTCCCATGAAATATCTTGGATCCTAATGCTTTAGCTGAAGCTGGCTGGATCCTCACTTTGAATAATGAGTTTTGTTTTTCAGTGAAATGAGTGACACAGTTTATCAGCGTTAAGAGCTAATTCCAAAAAAAGTGATCAAGTCTTCCCTCAATTTCAGTGGCTTTGCCATGTTCCAGTACCCATGAACTTAGTTTATTAAGCTAATTAAGTTAGTGCAGTGGGAAAGGAAGGAAAATAACTTGGTGCTGTAAAAAAGCTGGAGGGAGATAAAAGGATAAATGACCAGCTGAGCCAAGTTACATTGTTTGGTTTGAGTCCCTGAAGACCTCTGCAAATTTATCCCAAGGAAAACAGATTAAAAGATGTCTAGTGAGAAGTTTGTCGTCTGTCTTGTCTTCTCCAGACTCTATCAGTAAAGCTGAGTCCCTGCAGTTGCTTGTTCAGGCAGGCTCTTAAGTGACAAATAAATCCTTGCTGGTTCTGCTCCACGTGATGAAGTTTAAGGTGAGGCATGACAAGACTATGCCGTCTGCTTCTGCTGCTGTTGGTTTATGTCCAGTGGCCTTGTTTGCTTTGTCACTGTTTGCCTTCAGAGCTTCTTCAGCACTGTTGGTATAAGCCATGTTCCATCCATTTGCTGCAGCGTGTTCATCAGCTTTGACGTCACTGGAGGTGTTGTGGTTGGCACTGCAGGCCAGCACCAAAATGCATTGCTCCTTCTGCATTGTGGTTCTGAAGAAGGATGAAACCAAGAGGTGGCATTTTCCTTAACTGTGGTCGCGGTGTGGAAATGCACTTTCTTCTCTAAAACCTCTCTGGAAGGATGGTCTCTTCACCAGTCGGGAAACTGCAGGTGGAATATCCACCTGCCTACAGAGCTATTGGGTGCTGGAAACAACAGCTCAGGCTTGCCTTTTCCCACTGATTATTGCAGATAGCACCTGACTCCAAATCCCCCCTGTTCTGAAGCTGGAAAGCTGATGCCACGAATTGTTTCTGTTTTGACCTGACCTGGTCTTTTGGTTTGAGCAGGAGTAGCCGTCTCGTTTCCTTGGAGGTCTATGTATCTTTTGAGGGCCTCATCATCTGAGCATAGGAGGAGCCTGGACCAGGCTACCCTAAAGACATCTTCATGGGGGTTTTGCCTACTTCCACCTTCTTCACGAGACATCAGCAGGCAAAAGAATATACCCTCTTGCCCAGGATGTTCATCCTCTACTTCCAGATCCTGGGGTGGGCAGTTTTAAGAATGTTTCTGAGATAGTGGTAGTGAAGAAGAAGAGGAGGATGCTAAGTGTACGAGCAGGTTGGGCCTGGCAAGAACCTACGGACTGCTGCCTTGCATGGATGGGCTCCAACAAGGCTTCTTCATAGATGTGATGGCTTGAAGGGACTTGGTGGCAGCGACGAACATCTTTAGTCTCCCAAGACAACTGTAATTACAACATGTGAATCTGGTAGATTAAACTTGATTCCCAGAGATACTGGAGAGGCATGCGTTGAAGTGGATAACTACTTAACTACCAGGAGTGTTTCTGCCTGAATTATTTGTCTTTGCCCCTGCACTTTCTTGCAGGTTGGAGGTCTCTTGGGTGCTTACAGAAATGCACACAAGCTGGAAGTGGGTTTTTTATGCTTTATCTAGAATACTGAAAATAGATCTACTGATCTTCGGTAGAGAAGGCAGGTAGAAGTTGTTTCATCAGACACATCTGAATTCCCAGTATTTGTGTGCTCACATGTTTTTATTCATTTGTGAGGAAGAAGAATATAACTTAAGAAGTAGTCCAGCTCTTCCTTGCCCCCTTCTAAATGACCCAAGAAAATGTTGTGATATTTCACTGGTGCCAAATTGCCTTCAGCAAGGAGGCATGCTCATATGATACACGCTAGAACCACTTTTGTTCCACCTCTGGTTGCCCCTCCACTTACCAGCAGAGGTGAATTGCTCGGAAGATGGGGCAAGACCTGGGTTTTCCAATCAGAATTTGGAATTAGATCTTGCTGGTAAACCACAATACATAAATTAACTCAGAAAGAGATGGTTTAGGTTCTGGTCCTGTATAATATCAAGGAACGTTAGATTCTGGTATGTGCTAGCTTTTTTACCCCTGCAACTTTTTTAAGAAATGCAGAAATACTGACTCTTGTGGGAAGACTGGCTGTTTGCATTTTGGATCTTTTCCCTGAAGACTCAAATCAGAGTAAACCAGAAGGTTTCATTCATAAGGAGGAAGTAAATGTAGCTCAGAATTTCAGATGATGAAATGCTTAATGTGCTAGTCAGGACCAACCTGCGAGCAGTACTTGATCTTGGAGACATCAGCTCTTGACTGGTGGAAGTATGGCAAGTGATGGAGAATGAGCACAAGAGCGTTCAGTGCATCCTATAGAGCTATTTAGCTGAGAGCTAATAGTTCCTAGGCAGAGATTGTCTAGCCAAGAGCAAAGCGTTGCTGCTTGTTCAGTAACACGTATGATGATAGACACAAAGACCCTACTAGTCATCACGAGAAGCATGGAATATCCTGGCTGATGGCTAGTTCTCCAGTGACTTTTAAAAATCACTGATCCATTTCCATTTAGCTCTTTGTACAGGTATACCTGTTGCAGTATTACAGTGGGTACTCTAACTTGTGCCTTTCCAGCTGTTGATAGGCAGCTGTCAAGTTCTGCTTAAGTTGAATAGACTTAAACTGTTAGTGCCTGATCTTCTCATTAACATTCCTGTTGAGTAGAAGGACAGCAGATACTTTCAGAGTCTGACTTTCTCTTAGTGCTGGTCAGCAAACCTCTGACTGGTAGAACTCATCTTTGTAAAGCAGTAATGAATCCACCACATTCGAAGTCCTGTATTTGTAGGGTGGATTTGCTCAATTATGGCTATTTCTGTATAAAAATAAAGAAAAGCATTCAGTTACACAGGAAACTGGGGGAGGATGTTCTCTGTTGATTTTACTCACCTGAGCTGGTTTGTACAGGTTGTCTATTGGGTTTGGCTACTGTGTGGCAAGGTATGAGCAAAAAAAAAAAAAAATCTCTTTATGCCTTGTGATTATACTGCTTAATTTATTTTCATCTGCTTTTTTTGTAGGTATGATAGATTGTTTTAAAACCAACTTTTGATAAAGACTGACTTATGAAAGCCTAGTTAGTTAAAATTGAGTGTGTTTAATGCAGAGTTTTGTGTATTGTCTAGGAGAATTGGTGAAAATGTCTTTGCATGTAATGTAACCAATGATGTACTGTGTCCATACAATTTCTGTTTGATATTACCAATTTGTTTTTGACCAGATGATGATATTAGTCTAATTAATGTGCCACTAGTGAATACTAAAGCAAGTTTGGTTTTTTGTGTTCTTCTTCCCCCAGGACAAAATGTTTCACTTTTGGGTAAATACATTCTTCATAGGACTGGATGAAAATTCAGACAAAGTAGAAAATGGAAGTCTAGTTGCAGATCAGGAACTTGATGGTATTTTCAGTACAGAGCGCTCAGATAATGATAAGGAATATTTAATCCTTACATTAACAAAAAATGATCTAGACAAAGCAAATAAAGACAAAGCCAACAGATATTTCTCTCCAAACTTCAAGGTCAGTATATATTATGTGTAAAGAAAGCTGAAAAGCTGCATGGTGTTGTCCGATTTGTCTTTCTTGCCTTAAGGGAGGAACCATTTGAAACTGCTGTCTGTGTAGAAACTGAATTAATTTATTAGTATTGCCACCACTTAGAAAAGCTTCTAGCTTTGTAAGTTTATCTGCTTTTTGGGGAATTGATAGATGTTAAAAGACCACAAGTAATGGCTTCGGGTTGTTTCAGGTATTTATCAAAGCCATTAGAGATGAGTAGTAGGAGACCCAGAGACCCACGTGGCATCTTTCCTGTAGCAGCTGATTCCCGTGAGCTTTACACAGCAATTCCTGAGTTGATTTGCAGAGGTGCCCGCTTCATGGGAATACCTTAACCTGTGAGTTTAGCTTGGAAGAGTGTGAGCCACTGCCAGCACTGTTTTTAAAAATGAAAAAGGCATTTTAAAGAATTTTAGCTTTTTCTAACTTGCTCATAAATTGTTGGTTAGACCCCAGCAGTGCTCATTTGAAGGTAATGGTCATAGTTGCTTGTTGGAATGTTGCTTGGGTCAGACTTCTAAAATACCCCCCCCCCAAAAAAAAAAACCAAACCAAACAAAAAAAACAAACCAAAAGAAAAAAACCCACAAAAAACAAAACACACCACACACACATTAGTGTTTTGTTCATTCCTGTGCACTCTTACTACGATCTTTTTGTGCTCTCAGAGGTCTAAAAAGTAGGACAGTCAAAGCTTAGCGTGTCATGGCCTGCCGCAGTGGTATGTCCTGCTGCTTTAGCTCAAGACTACCAGTGCAGAAACGCAGAACTCCTTCAGCTGGGCTTGAAAAACCTGCTAGTTAGCCAGTTCCTTATTTTGTCAGGGGTGGTAGCAAGAGGCTGGCTAACCTCAGAAGAGTTCACTCTTTATTTCCTTCTTCCCAGAGCAGAGAGAGGAGCACTCGTGTGATTCAGTGTAGAAAAGGAGCCATGCTGTTAAAAATTGCATTGTTACCTGTGCTTGGTTAAAGTTCAGGTTCCCTTTATAAATGTTTTTTTTTTCCTTTCCCAGGTGAAGCTATTTTTCACAAAAACAGTAGAAGAGCCATCAAATCCAGAGGCTAGCAGTTCAACTTCTGTAACACCAGATGTTAGTGACAATGAACCTGATCATTATAGATACTCTGACACCACTGACTCTGATCCAGAGAATGAACCTTTTGATGAAGATCAGCATACACAGATTACAAAAGTCTGAATATTTTTTTTATCGGAGATAAAAAAAACACACACACAAAAAAACAACCAACCGTGAAGAGTGACAAACTTGAATAAACTGAAAAAAAAGGACCTTTTTAAATGGCAAAAGGACACAGTGTCAGATTACAGTGATAGGCACAATTCTTTCCTGACCAATCTTGTTTTGCCGTATAAATCTACAGGGTTTGACACTTGTCCAGTTGGGAAAAAAAAAGGTTACGTAGCTCTGATATGTATATACCTTTTTGTGTCAAAAGGACATTAAAACTTCAATTAGGAACTATAAACATGGCACTTTCCCATTTTATTCCAGTTTTATAAAAGTGGAGACAGACCTAATGTGTATACGTAGGAATTTTTCCTTTTGTGTTCTGTCACCAAACGAAGTTTTGAAAATATACAGGTTCACATCCTGCCCCTTTTTTTGCACTTGTGTGGCAACAGAAAAGTCTACAGTTGGCTAAGAGATGTTTCTAGAAGGTTTTACTACATTCTAATGCATGTATTTTGGATGGGGGATGGAAAGTAATGCTCAGAAAGGAATATAGTCTGCTGGAGCTTGGCCTTTGTACCACATCCAGCTATTTACATGCACCTTTCTTTGGCATGCTACCATAATTCATCCTCGACAATTGAAGAATCGCCGCTGTCACTGCTTGTTGTTTGTGCATTTTATTTTTTTAAGTGTAATGGTGCTAGAAAAGGCAGCTAGAGGGAGTGATACTGTATAGGGGTACAGGAATGAACCTTCACAACATCCTAAAGACTCACAAATGAAGGGAGAAAAATTATTGGGGTCACAGAAAGGAAACACAGCAACAATGACTTAACCATACAAATGTGGAGGCTATCAACTCAAGTACGGGCTTGAAACAAATTGTTACAAAATTTGACAATTACTTATTCATTGGGGTTTTTTTTCTGAATTGTAATGGCTGCTCCATCTCCTGTGTAATCAAGGCCAGTGCTAAAAGTCAGATGCTATTAGTGCATACATCAGTCAACATCTTAAATGTATGTTATTAGTTTTTCAATCATATTCAAAATACTTCATGTGCTGCCTTGCAAGCTTTTTTCTCATTAATATAAAAATATTTTGTAATGGTGCACAGGAAATTTCAATTGGAGATTCTCCAGGTTAATGCTTGTTTTGAAGATTTATGATGCATTTATTCAATCAAACCTCTGTCAGCCATACCACCCCTTTGACCTTACACATTCTATTATGATGAGTTTTGCAGTTTTGCACACTTTTTTTTAAAAAAAAAAAAGTCATTAACTGTCAGGGAATTTTACTTGAATACTCAGTACCTACGATGTTTTAAAAACAGATGTTACACATGATACAGAGCAAACCAGTGTTGCAGTAAATTCCCAACACTGTGTAGATGAAGATGTGTACTTCTAAAAAGCAGAGCTTGTCCCAAATGTATTGTTTGCTGTTAAAAAAAAAACACAAAACAAACCAACAAAACCAAACCAACCACCCAACAAATTAGATTTCTAAACTGGCAGTGTTATATTATTTGTTCGTAGGGATATAGCCAGGAGTAGGGCTTGAGATGATTCACTTTTGGTATATAATTGACATGCCCAGACTGCAGATGACTTCAGAGTACAACTACTGTTGCATCCAAATGTGAAGTAGCTGACAAAATTGTTCTCTCTAAAGTATGCCATGAGTAGCTGTCCCCAAATTTACACTTTTTTTTTTTTTTAAGATGAAATACAAACCCCACTCTTTTAATCAACTTATTGGTGCTGACATTGAAGTTCAGTAGCTGTGTTCTTGCATAGATAACAACTGTGTGTGGAATCTAAGGGCCCTGTACAACAGCATTAATGGTAAGAATTTGAATGAGACAAGGCAGGACTTCCGGTAATTACTATTGGTAAACGAAGGTATAAAGTGCTTTTTTTTTTTTTTTTTTGGTATCTGTTGGTCAATTTCGCTCATCAGATTCATGATTCTAACTCCTAACAAAGCTGATAAATATTTTCTGACTTCTAGGTTTAATTAGACTTTAATAGCTTAATGGATCAAGATTGCTGGTTCCAGTGCTCATTATTCCCACTGTTATTGATGAGCAGAGGTGGTTACCGTGGGATGTGACATTTAACTCTTACCCTTCGGATCATGTTTTACTTTGTCTGTTTTTTAACAGTTGAAAGTTGTGTTGGCTAATAAACAGAAAATGTTCATGCTTTAAAAGTATTCGGATATTGACACTGCTGCGTGTCCCACTTTGGATAATAAAAATTGGATTGGTGGGGTTCCAGTATGTAATTCTGAGGGCCGGATTGGAAATCATGACGCGATGGGCTTTTGCACTGTTATTTTTCCTTTGGAATGTGAAGGTTGGAATGAGGGTTTTGATTTTTTTTTTTAAATGTTTCAATGTCTTTGAGAAACCTTGCTTACATTTTATGGTGTAGTCATTGGAAATGGAAAAATGGCATTATATATATATTATA